GAGCTCCCTAAAAACAGATGTCAAAATTTCCTTTGTAAAATATCTACACAAGTCGCAGTCACTCGCCATGTACCCCATTTCCCATTACAAAAAAAAAAAAACAAACAAAAAAACAACGTTGATTAGCCCGTGCTAATTTTAATCCACACAAATGGAAACACAATCCTGTGTGTTTTTTACCTGTGGTTTAATGTGGGATGACATCACACTAAAACATAGGCTACCATTACTTAAACAACAGTACACAAACACAGTACAATAATGACAGCAACACAATCCAAAAATAATACAATATTAAATATAACAAATTGAATTGTATACACCATCCCAACCAACATTTACCTAATATGTACACACACCCCAGCCAAGTATATGATATATAGCTAGGCACAAACAGCCAATTTGATGTTTATTGAATCTTTATATCCCAAGTCACCAAGTTTAATGTAAAAGAAATTGATGAAATTACTTCAGTATACTTCAATATTGTGAAGCTTTTTAGAAGAGAAAACAAATGGAATACAGATAAACTATAGAGCAATAATGTAGGAGTTCTTGCTACTTTAGCACAATGGTCTCATTGTAGGTCCATTTTAATAAGTTTCTTACTGAGGGTGGAGCTGTAGCAAAATGATACACAGTGAGTGTAGTGGATGGAACTAAATAATATCAGAATTTAATACCAGAATAAAGTGACCAGAAGGTCCATTTACTACCACTAAGTGAATTGATTTGTGTGAATTGAAAGCGTCTTTAAATTAAAGTGAAATGTTCACCAAAGAACTTTGTTCTAAATCTGCTAAAATGATACAAATAAATTAAATTGAGGGCAATTAATATTGGAATAGAGATGATAGAACAGATGAAGAAACAGGAAAATAATAAGGGTTGCAATATCATAAATACACAGCAAAAAGACTTGGATAATAATAAAGTCAAACAGTAACAACTAAGTTGTGTAATGCCATGTGTAATAGTGGGTTTCTACACAATACAGCTTGCTACATTACGAGACAGACATGCTCCAGTGAAGTTACAAATCATCACAATGTATCAGCCTGTCTAAAACCCACCCTACTACTAAATGCCTATTACTTTATAGCTCGTCATTTATTTTTGTCTGTAAAATTTTGTGTTTTGGTTGTATGTATGAAGCTTACTCTTTAAGTAATTCATCATTAAATTAATAAAGTTATGACTCTTATCCCATTCCTTTTAAAAGATCTTGACCCTAGAGTCTCTTAGCTTTAGCCCTTCCTAATGTAAATGTTTTTGCCGGTTCCTACCTAAGCTTCTGACCTGTTCCTACCTTGGATTTGGACAATCCTAATACTGTACCAAAATCTCTTGTTCAGTTTCTGGCCTATTCCTACATTCAACATCACTTCTAATTGCTGTTGGCTCAGTTGTAGATCTATGACAGATGTTTAGGGGGGGGGGAACTTGGAAGTAAGGATATCCCCTCAAAAGTGGTGTCCCTTTGTCTTCTTTCTAATATCATCCAGCTGCCCTTTAAGAGCTTGAATTCTCAGTCCTCTCAAAATATTATTACTTATAGCTCGGTAATTATTATACTGCCTATAGTGCTCAGAGTGTCTGTGCATTTGCATAATAGCTCTGCCTGTCTCCACTCTCCACCTCCCCCTACCTCCTACATATAGCTCTTTTCCCATTCCTCATCTATATAAGGCCAATTGATATAAGGACCTGCTATTACAATCTTTTGTAGCAGATGATTTTCTCATTCTTCTATATGTATATTGATGGTATGCTGCTATAGTATAGGAATCGTTCCACTTATATGTCTTTAAGGTGAATGCACACACATATACGAGGCATGTCGTGGCGAAATGGTTAAGTTGTCGCACAGTCCAGTATGACTAAATGAGCTACAAAATATGGGAGCTCAAAAAATTGCCTATAAATCCAAATTTGTTTTTCACTATAGATCAACAGTTTAATGTCTTATTAATCATGTCCAAAAGTATTAGTTCTGGAAGTGGTCAACAAATTGTTTATTTAACATTATTTTCATAGTTCATTCTATTAAACAATGTATGCACAAATAACTTTGAAAGGCAATTACTCAAAATCATGTTTATCTTGACTCTAAGAGTGCTGTACTTTTCACTTTCTAATAACTTAGGCTTGAAATGTCAAATGTGAATGAATGACCACTCATTTTAATGACTTAGAACACATACACAGGTATCTGAAAATACTAATAACTTGAATTTCAATTTTTGCTACAAATTAGCCACAACATGCCTCATATTGCTTACTATATGGAGGAATAAAATAGTATATGAAGCCAAACTTGATAGCGAAGCAAACGTAGGATACTTCAGCAGAAAACACAAGCTGTACACCAACAAAGGTCAAGTTACAGACAGGGTCACGATATTGCAATTCAGCAAGAGTATTGGATCAGTAGACATGAATCTTATTCAACCAGCAATACTTTAAGCATGGTGGAAGTTTCAGTTTAATGCCAATTCTGCCATTGGAGCAAATCCCACTTGAAAAACCATGACTGCCAAAAAGAAGTGTTAATACCTTTTCTCCTGACTGTTAGTCTTTTCTTTGTAAATATTATGATCACCACCAATTTACCGTAATTATTAAATCTATGTGGGTATCACAACCCCATAATTTTCAATACCTGATATGATATTCCTTATTGTAATTCTTAATTGCTAACTTAGGGGGTGAACTTAGCAACAAAAAAAAAAAAAAAAAAAAAAACCTTTTTTAAAAATGATTGCTTAAATGAATTTCAAATTACTATGCACATATTAATTTTTTTTTTTTTTTTTTTGCTTGCTCTTTCAAAATAATATTTAAAAAAAAAATCAAATGTTGGCATGGTAGGTGCATACTTAATTTACACTTAGATTTTACTTGCATTTTAATAAATTTATCAATTGGAAATGATATTAAAGATGAACTTTATAAAATATGTCTACTTTTATGAACACATAATAAAACAATAAAGATAAAGCGTCAAATTCAATTTAAACAAATAAATTGTAAAATAATGTCAAATAAATCAACAAAATTTTTTTACCATGCATGAAATCATATGCCCTAGTATATTTAACGACTTAGTCTAGACCCCAACAACCAGGTGAAACTTTAAACAGTCGTCTGATTTCACACATACGCCCTCATTAACACAGCAAGGGAAAACCCTAACACATTTCCCTTGATCCACCCTTCTCACACCATTGGTATCAGTCACCACTCATTTCACCAACAAAAATTCATGGATCTGCCACTGATTAGTCACAGTGTTAGTGCAACTAATTTAATCATGAAAATATGAAAGAACAATGTTCAGATATAAACTACAGTTGAACTTGCCTAAGTCGAATCCAAAATGCCATTGAAATATTGTTCGACTTAGATAAAATTTGACTTACAGATTGTTAATTAATGGAAAACACAACAATTTGTAAAATATGATCGATTTAGAAATTATTTGACTTAGGCACAGTCGACTTAGGCAAGTTTAATTGTACAGAAGGAGGTTTGGTGCAAATATATGGAGAGAGCTACAATAGGCCTATAATTTTTTTCGGTAGAAAATATTACTTTTATGTGCAAGGATTTGGTCTTTGAGAGTGACAGCTTGAGATAGACCTTTGATGCAGGAGTCTCACTCAAAATGCATGAGACAAGGTAGGTCTGATACATATCTGGCAATATCATATATGGTGTTACATGGCGATACAACTGAAAATATTTGACATGGGTCATCATCGGTGCATGATTCATCTCCACTAAGGATGCATCACATGCAGGTAAACAATCTCAGGCATATCATTGGCTGTAAATATAAATCCAACATTTCAAATCAACCAATCAGAAGATTCAAGACATCACAATGCAACATGCAGTCCCTGCCAATTAATTAATGCTTGCATAATGTCTGTCTTGGCAGCGCATGGCAGTGGAGCCGTGGGATATCTAATAGTGGAAACTACCGGAGCCCAGTCCCAAACAGACTGCACCCGAGGCTACAGTGATGCTGTTTTCGTTTTTCAGAGGCCAGTCCCTTTTTTTCCTGCTCCTTTTTAAGTAAATGAATTGTTGCGAAATGTCTTAAATTATTACATAAATAAATTATAACAAATTTAACTATTAAATTAAGTGTATACCGTTGTAGTTGAAGATTTGAAGTGTACTGTTATTCTCAACCTCAACCATCATCCTCCTCCTCACTCACTGTTCAGACGATACTGAATTACTGGGAGATCTCACATCTTCAACCACAATCATCCTTACAATTACCACTACATTAGTGGAAAGGGATAGCAATTCAAATTCACATGCAACTCCATTTGATTTAGAATTAAAGGTATTTACCCTTTTGCTCAACACAAATGTAACCATTACAATTAATTCACAAAGTGTATTAAGTCACACATAGTAGTATGTGAAGGCATTGGACATAAGACTTTGTCTACTTCTAAAACTCTTGCTGAACCATAACAGAGTACAGGTCTTCCTCCAATTAAAGAACAATTTTGGGACTGGGGTTTTCATAGTCTTTAGCAGCTTTGGTTTCTAATTAGAATAATAAAAAACATTTGTTAATTTAGAATCACAGAAAAGTGGTCTTTAATTGGAGTTTTCTTCCATTAGAGAGAGACCTGTAGTTTTAGCATGCTTACTGATTAATAAAAAATGTGTTTATCATTAAAAACTTTAATTTCGGAATATATTATTTACCAAATCATCGCACTGATTGTTAAACCTGTTCAAGATAAAGGATAATTGATTCAACAATTCTGAGGTATAGTATTTCTATACAATATTTTGATTATTAAAAGAAAATTGGATTTAATATTATGATTGTTAAGTTTATAGATCATTTTATCGGGTTTATTTTGAAACAGCGCCGCCAATGTCTCGCAACTCACTGGGGGACTTCCAGAGGCCTAGCCTAGCCTGAGCAGCTAGTTAGTCAAGTTAGAATGAATCAATAGAGTGCCGCACGCATACTGGCCCAGTGGAAGTTGCAAGGTTATTGGAAATTTCCATTTATAATTTCACTAAATTGGTCTATAAAACCACTAAATCAAGTTATAAATTTTGTGGTGGTATATTTACTATGATATACTGTATTGTAATATTGTTAATAGCTGATTAAATATGTTCAAATAAGTTTAAGATCCAGAAAAAACAGATCAAAACATAGGGATCTATGAAAATAAACAGTGTCTTTTTCTTATTCTAACTTACTGGAAATAATAAGTATGCAATACAAATAATGAATTTTATAGCTATAGAATCGGATATTACCTAGTTTTATAGAACAGATTATTATATTGCATACAGTAATGAATGTTTATTATGTTCACACACACTGAACAAACAGAGACTCAACATGGCCTGTGTAGAAAATATCTCAACATTAGTAGAATACTAAACAAATTCACAATAACACAAAACTTTGGGGTTCCAGCTAAAATGTTTGAGGCTCAAACATCTGTATACTTACGTCAACGGCTGTAGGCTTATTAGATCCGTTGTCACTATCAGGTTTTTTCTTTTTATCCTTTATGCTAACCTGAGTGTACAAATCTCCACCACTTGCTGCGTATCTCTTTAAGTCTGAATTTGAATCTGGTTGTTTCATTTCAACGTCACCTTGTGGGACAACAGGGTCTGATGTTGGGTCTTTTGGCCTATTGCAGTGTAGGTTAAACACAGTGAACTCTTAAATCTGATTAGTACATTTCTTGGCTTGCTACCTCATACAATCAGATCATTAAGTCAAAAACATATCAGGCTCACAATGAGTCATAATTAAAAAGAGTTATTTTAAACTAAATAATTATTATTAAAAAGTATTGGGTTTATTTGTATTTAAATTACTAACAATATTCAACAATCTAAGTAATTATAGAATGAACAAGCGAATCAAGCATCAAGATCACAGCCTATTTCATATATTTTATAGAGTCTAATCTTGTTATAAAAGAATAATTAATGTAGTATAGTATGTAATATTATTGGAAAATGATTAATGTTAAAATTACATGTCTCCCTCCAATTATCCCCTTTGGGACTGGGATTTCCATGGTCTTAAGCAGCTTTGGTCTCTCAGAATAAAGTTAAAATAACTTTTTGTTAATTTGGGACAACAGAATGGTGGTCTTTAATTGGAAAGGTCTTTCATTAGAGGGAGACATGTACAACAAAAATATAGACCAGTGAATGAACAGTGCAGAAAACAAACTACTGTATGTAAAGCTTCAGGCCACTAATGTTATGCTTGTTTACTTATGAATTATAAGTGTGAGGGTGTTCTAACGCAAGGTACTAAAAAATAATTTCTTGATTATTACAAAGGAACCTGTGTAGTCACAGAAAAAGGTAAAGATGGTAAGGAAGAAATAACATTCATGTTACATAAACAGGATGATTAAGTGAACCACAACATGCAAATATTATCTACCAAAAAGGTATCACATGCCCATTTACTAAAACAGAATTGATTCACTTAATGACGAAGTTAAAAAATGTTAGTAATAGTGAAAGTTCACCACAATGCCAATATAAAATAACTTTCAAAAGTAATTAGAGCTTATTAGCAAAAATATTATGACAGTAATAATAATCTCAATAGTAATAATATCCCTAACAACAACAACAATAATAACTCAATAATAATAATAAGCCTAATATTAAAACAATTTTACAAAATGTAAAAACAATATTTAGTAGCTAGTATAGTGCATTGCAGTGCTTTACTTGATGCATGCCATTATTTTGCAATATTTTTTAAATCAACAATTGTGAAGTAACTTGTAAATGATATGAAAATGTTTATATGCATTTAATTAATAACAAACTGAAAACCATATTTGTATACTCACGGTTTTTTTGAATTCTGTGATTCTTCATATAAAAGAATAAGATATATATAAGATATATATTACAAAGCTGTAGAATGGTCAAATTAATTGCATAATATACTGTGCAGTATTCATTGTCATTTCTGCACTAGTTTAAGCCGCTCCTCGCCCCGGTGTTTGGTTGGTACATATAGATGTCTGCACTGTTTAGCTCTTGGTCCATGCCTGAACCCAGATCTGTATATAGCTGATGCCTCTCCTATGTAATCTTAAAGCCCATTGATGTACAATGACAGTATGCATTTTGATACTTTGAGTATGTATTATACTATCTTACAAATATTTACAATAAGTAGTTTTCGCCGCACTGCGTTAACCTTAACGTTATCGGATAGCATCAAAATTTATTCATCTTGCGTTGCGGAGTATGTTAATTTCAGAATTTTATGTGCTCGACGTACGTTAGTTACGGGTTTGCACATACATATTTTGATTTGTTTACAAAAGGGGTGGAGCTATCACGTTGCATGCTGGGTACTAAGTTAAGGTTAACTTCATGCGGTAAAAACTATGTATTATCTCATTCTTGCCTTAAGAATTTTATGTCTATGTATTAATATATTGATGGTATACAATGACGGCTTCAAGGTATGGCCAAGCCAGACCGGGCCCCCCTAAATTTCTTAAAATGACAAAAAAAAAAAAAAAAAAAAAAAAAAAAAAAAAAAAAAAAAAAAAAAAAAAAGACAAAAGGAAATCAATACCATGCGAAGAACCATTCTTCGGGGAATATATTTTAGCTGCAACATAAATTGTGGCCTAATTTGACCTGGGCCAAATTAGCCAGTAGAACGGTACATGTAAAATTATGACCAAATTGTGTATTAATCGTTATCAGACTTCCCATCTCTATAATACGTCTTTTACACTGAAAGCAAAACTCTGGACATATTCATAGCCCAAAAAGTTAAAATTAACCATTTTTTTTTTGGCTAAAAAAAGAGGCCAATTTTGCACAAAATGTGAAACTTGGGCACTGACAACATCAGACTCAAACTCCCAACCGCGGAAGTTGAAAACCTGAGCAGACAATGCTGCGCCAACTACAACCCTTTACCCATTAAGCCGAGCGAAATCCACTCCTTTCAATAGGGCCAGCAGTATAGTAGTAGTAACAATATTATTTCTACCCTGGAATTGAGGCCATTCCTATGGTTATCGTTGACAAAGATGGATTTACACCTGTGTATTTATGATACTAAAGTTGTCAAACTTACTGTAGACACGATAACCACCAAAACTAATTCCTACAAGAACAACACAGCCTCCTAGAGTGCCAACTGCAAGAGAAATTCCAAAATTAAAACAAACATTATGTTCTTCATGGAAAAATTATAAAATTGTGCTTACTACCACAATTTTATTGTTTTGGATGATTATGATGTCATTTGATGTGATTTGTGAAAATATGTTGTTATCATATACACTACATGATAAATCGTTATCGAATTGTGCTGGTGTGAAAAATTCTCTTATTTCTTATTGTCTATATGAACAATAGAGGGATTCGGTGATGGACGTCACATGACTTAACTTGGGTATAAACAATGGAATTACACAGCGGAGAATTCTATAACGGATGTCGCATGTTATTGCTGTAAAGATCATCATAATTGCTGTATTTGTTCTTTTGAACATAATTTAGGTTACTCTATGTCGATTGTTGATGTCCCAAAATTCACCACACAAACTTTGTGTGACTTGTGGTCCAAGGGAATTTGAAATATTAAGCCTAGGCCCCTGCATATCTACAGCCTGTTTAGTTATGCACAAGAATTGTCGACTCGCCGACTATGCTACGATTTCTAGGCTACCTGAGGATTACGAAGGATCACATAAATTTCAAAGCATACAATGCAAGGAGAACGCTAGGATAAGTATAAATAAGGAACACTATTTTGAATAATCGTATTGCCTTTCCTTGCCATTAATTTCTCATGTTAACAGTGGGTGATTCTTTTCAAAACCATAACATTACCTTTTACAGTTAAACTTGCCTAACTTAAATAATTTCTAAGTTGAACTTATTTTACATGCCAAATTGTTGTGTTTTCCATTAATAAACAACTGTAAGTTGAATTTTATCTAAGTCTAACAATTTTTAAATGGCATTGATTCGACTTAGGGGTCATTCCATATGAACTCAATCTATATGAATAATAAACACATGCAAAATTCTAGACTTACTCCAAGTGGTTTCGGAGTTACGGCCCCAAAAAAATCGGGTGCCACGCTCCCTTTTCGTCCTCGCAAATCGCAAACTTCAATTTATAGGGTTTTTGGAGGTCAATATCTTGGTAATGAGACAGAGTTAGGGGCTGAAATTTGGTATACAGGGTATTTCTGGCCCAGGCTTTCAGAATCTGCTGTGTTCATTATTCATGTAAAGGTATCTCCAAAATAAATTTGAGCCAAATCGGAGTCGGTCACCTGCGAACATTTTTCAACTTTGGTTGAGCTCATATGGAATGACCCTTAGGCAAGTTCAACTGTACTACACTTTCACACTGATCGTACTGTAATGTTTTTTATGGTACACCCACCGTAGATCACGTGACTGGCTGTAAACAAACATCGCCAAATCCCTCTATTGCTTTTTAGTTTTTTATCATTATCGTCAGTGTAACCAGGTCTTAAAGCCCCATTCCCGGCAAAATTTCACTAAAAATGACTTTTTATAGAAAATATGCATTTGCATTACTCCAATTATTATAAATCATGGAAAAATATTGGCATGAATTTTAGTTTTACGCAAAAGAATAAAAAAAATGAGAAATACAGACTATTTCTCATAAAATATTACCATTTTCTCGACGAATTCATCGTTACTAGGCAAATTCAGAGGTTGTAGATCGCATCCACTGGAATACTCTCTCTTTTATGTATACTTTATACAGTCAATAAAGTGCGCCCTCTCTAATGAGATTACTTTTTGTATTTCGCATCTCGCACAATGCGGTCGTTCGGTTAGGCTGAGATATGTTTGTTTAAGTGTCAAAATCTCAGTCAGAATCAGTTTTTTAACAAATTTGAAATAATTCCTATGAAATATTATATTTCACAAGTGTCAATACTAGCAACGGAAAATATCATGTCTGCCGTTTTTATGTGTAATAACAGAACCTAAAATCGAGGTAAGGCTAGGCCTAGCTAGCAGCGTTGGATAGGCTAATGTTTTCGGCGCCTACGATATTTCTTCTCACGACCTATCGCAAAATCAACATGAAAAATTCATCCGCATTTATTTTTTGTGTGGAACACAAAAAATCAAATTTCAGTCTTATTTTACATTTTTTTCATTCTTAGGAATGTCTAAATTCAGTTAAACTAGCAATTCCGTATTATATTTATAAATCTTTATAACATTATACAAAAATTAGATTTTTCTTAAAAATTGAATTTTTGCCGGGAATGGGGCTTTAAGATTAGTCGCTATTAAATTTCAGTTGCCTACAGTTTTAGCCATCTCCTGTATATTATAGATATTTCCTATCACACTTATCTCCTGAAGAAGTGGATAAAAGCTAGAGCTAAATAAATCTGCAGTCCTTAAAGTGCCAAATTCCTGTCATCATTTATTTTGTATCAAAATTAGACTAACGCAGCTAAACTTCTTTTCATTCTGAATAATGAAATAATATTGAAATTTAAAAGAAACACCATATTCATAGTATACCAGATATAGAAAATGTATTTTCTAAAACACAAGAAATCATTTATCAAGTCAAATATAGTATACATTTGCATAATAAATTCATGGTTGTTAAGATGGATGATAATAAAGTAACTCACGTATTATAGCTAAAATGTTGGGTTTATCTGAAACAAAGAAAACAAATTTAAGATATTCAAAACTACTGATAATAAATAAATCAATGAAAAAATATCTCAAGTACAAGTGTGTGTGATGAATTTACCTGGCTTGAGCATATGCTGGTTGTGAAACAGTTCTCAAGCCATTTTGAATCATGCCAGACTTCAGGCATTCTATGTGAAAGTTACTTAAAGTGTCCTAAGCTTTGACCTTTGGTCAATCAGTTTTTAGCCTTGATAGTATGCAAGATTAGCTTTTAAAGAAGTTGTTTAGAAATTTTATATAATTTGAGAACTTATTTAGCATACTCAGTTACAAATATCTAATTTTTAAAATTATGAATCTTCTGCACTTTTGTTATATAGACGCACTCAAGTAAGGTTTGTCATTACGTCACAGGGCATCGCTCAATCAAGATTTAGCCAAAGGCAATTGTAATTTACAGGGTTAGGATGATTTCTAGATGAATTCTTCATATTTATTATTATTATTATTATCCTTGTATTCGTACAAAGCATGTTTATTTTATATTGTATGCTTGGAACTTTTTATATCACTCATCCAAAAGCTGGAATGAACTAGTAACAAATTAAAAATTAATTTCAAAGAGATGTCAATGTTTTCATTCCAAAATCATTAAAAAATATTATTTTTCATCAATAACTCTTCCCTTTATTTCTATTTTATTTCATATAATTTATTTTTGGATTCATTGTTTGCTACACTGTATGATTCTCATCACTGTATCACTTTGAAAATCAGTACTATAGTACTGAAAGTGCCTACTAGGCTCCCAGCAGGAGCGTGTGTCTACTGCCTAATTTTCCTGGAAAAAATCCAAGAATTGAATTAAAATGTATAACAACAATAACAATTATAAGTCAATCCTTACGTAAGTGTACATTCCACGTTATTTTACTATCCTTAATCTTTGCTAATTTTTGTTAATCAATCGTGATGTCATTAATATATTTTCATATTCATGCACTAAGAGAAAATATTATACTTACTGTAGGTTGAATACATTCAAAAATTGTTCATGCATTCTTTTAACCTTTGTATAATCCACACAGTATGATACAGTTTGTTTTGTGATTTGTGTGTCAAACCAGTTTTCCTATAACACATAATATAGCCTAACCCCAGGGGCAGATTTCATTTCATTTCATTTATTTCGCCAAATAGATATAAATATATAAAATATACAAATATAAAATTTCAAAAATAGTAATTGTTGTCATGTGGCAGGACTGCCCAAAAGTAGAAGATCTACTGTCGAGGGGCTCTCCTCATGACAACAAAAATACAATATCGCAATTCTATATACATAATTTAAAAAATATTATAAACATTAAAATGCAGTACGGTATAAGAAAACATAATATAATTACAAAAAGATTTAAAAGGCCTAATAAAAAGTACAGATAAAATAAATCACAAATAGAGCAATCGAGCAAATTCCCAAATCCCTTAAATGTTGTTATAATAATCATTCAGTTCCATCAAAAAATTATTAATGTTAAAGAGTAATAAATTTCTTTTATCAGTAGGTAAAGCATTCCAGAGTTGGGGGAAACTATTAAAAGCTGTGTGTTTTAAAGCATTAGTCCTGGCAAAAGCATGTGTAAATTTTAAATTGTCAGTGTGTCTTTGATTGACAGAAACAAATGGAAATATATCCAAATCATGAATTGAGTAGACACTTACAAATAAATGAGATTGTCAGTAAATTAAATCAGTGTTTTAGAGAAAGTATTCTAAGGTTAGTAAGTCTCTCTTCATAAGGTGGACAATTGATAAATAAATAACAGGCCCTTGTCACTCTCCTTTGAATGCATTCTAATTGCTGAATATGTCCTTTTTGATAGGGATTCCAGACTGGGACACCATACTCAATGAGAGGTCAAACAAGAGCAGTGTATAATTTTAATATGAGTTTTGAATTAGAAAAAGGAATGAGCCGTTTGATGAAACCCAAGAGACGTGAAGATTTAGATATGACAGATTTTATATGTTCCCCCCACCCTAAATTTGAAGAAATAATAACACCAAGATACTTATAATGTTTTACAATGTTGAGTTGGGAACCATTAATACTGTAAGTTTTCAAGGATTCACTGACAACTTTTGAGCGGGTGATTCTCATTATTTTACATTTAGTTTCGTTAATAGTCATGTGATTATTCTTACTCCAATTGTATATAGTATCTAAATCGGATTGAAGGACAATGTTCATAAAGAGGACAACGAATAGCCCGATACAAGACCGTATCGTCTGCATATAGGGGAATATATGAAGCGATATTGTCTGCAAGGTCCAGAACAAAAATGTTAAATAAAATCGGTCCTAAAACAGACCCTTGCGGGACCCCAGAGGTAACTGCGGATTCCTCTGAAATGAACGCTTACAGAAAGTTTACTTTCTGTAAGCGGTTACATAAAAACGATGCAAACCAGTTCCACATAGGACCACTTATACCGTATTTATGAATTTTTTTTTAACAGAATGGCATGATTGACTTTATCAAAAGCGTTGCTCCAATCTAAATATATTACATCTATATGAGGTGGTTTTTCTCATCGAGAATGGTGGCCCAGTGGTGATGTACGGAACAGATCAGCGATGTGCACGATCTGCCCTTTACAAACCCATGTTGGTTATTTGAGATTAAACCATGCGTGCTCATATAAAGTGTAAGTCTGTTCGAAACAATTCTCTCCAACACTTTCCCAACAACAGAACAAAGAGATATCGGTCAGTAATTAGTAATACTTGATCTTTAATCTTTCTTGTGGATGGGAGCAATGGTGGCATTTTTCCAGTCCGAGGATATTTTCCCTATTTTAAGTGAAATATTGAACAGCATTGTGAGTGGCTCGACAATATAAATTGCCGATAACTTCAACATAGTAGACGTGATCCCATCAGGACCGGGACTTTTACCACATTTGAGCTTACTGATCATCTTGAGAAATTCGCGATTCTTAGTTTGAATCAAGTCAAGAGAAGGAAAAGTGCTATCATGTTCCACACAAGAGGATTCAGAAAAGTCAGATGTTAATTGCTCATTAGAAAAATTAGAAACAAAAAAATTATTAAATGCATGAGCAATTTGATTAGTATCACACGTCTTATTGCCATTAATATCAAAGCTAGATGCAAGTGGTTTAGCACACCAGCTACGGACATAAGACCAAAAGGCCTTGCCGTTATCCGAACACTTATCAGCTAGACCAGTAATATACTTGTGGTAGGCAGCATTGGACTCGTGTTTTACTTTATTCCTACACGCCTTATAACGTCCCCAGCTAGAATCAAGACGAGATCGGACCAAATAATATTGTACCAAATTGTATCAATATCAGTATGTTCGAAACAAGTACCCCATTTGTTTTAGAATATTGAAAAAATGTACCAGTATGGGAAAAGGAATGCGTTTTGAAATTACACTTATAAGTAAATGCAATGCCTAGGTGATCACAACCAGGAAGAGCAGGATGGGAAACAACATTATCTATCACTTCTGGCCTATTACAATAAAGATGATCAGTAATATTATTACAGGTTTCATTAAATGGATTATTCACGGATCGTGTTGTGAACGTGACATGTTGGGAAAAGTCAAGAGTATCAACTATTGACTTTAGCCGACACAGAGGAGAAGAGTATGAATCATAATTGATATTTAGGTCACCTACTAAAATTATACTATGATATCTATGCATATGATGGAATACACTGTCAATACAGATTTGTAACTTATCGTAAAAATCAGTTCGAGAGTTGGGTGGCCTATATAGACAACCAACCAGTGATTTGCCATTATCCGATATCGTGATTGATTTCTATCCAGATCAACTCAATATTAGGATGGGAAAACTCATCGGCTATACAAGGATGAAGATCATTAGACGCAGCAATGGCAACACCCCCTCCATGCCTGTTTCTATCCCGCCTAAATAACGCAAAATCAGTTCCAACTATTTCGGAATCCAGTACTGAAGAATCCATCCATGTTTTTGTTAAGAGAACAACTTGTAACTTCTCCGTTTCGAGAAGTGCTTGAAAATCCACAAGTTTATTTACAATACTTCTGGCATTGAAGTATAAACAAGACACAGCTTTCTTTACTCGACTCTGGTGGTCACTCTCCGGACCCGGGTTAGGATGTATGTCACCGTCAGTACTTTGGAGTAAGCGATCAAAAGCATAGTGATTAGCGTAGTAAGCAACTGGTCTAGATAACTTCTTTTTTCGATGGTATCGTATCCTAAATAACTGAGGACGATAGCAGTTGTAAGCAAAACTAGAACATAGTCCATCGTGATCCAGATCGACAGGGACTACTGTATAGTTGGAGAGCACCTTTAGGTTATAGGTAGACCCAGGCCTCTCAGTGAATATGTAAATCTGCATAGCATTGCACAATGACGTGTTGTTATTAATGGCGCAGGATTCAAATTCAAATTCAGCCATGATGGTGTAGCTAGTTAAATTAATATCAGTATATGACATAAAACATACTTGAATAGGATGTTCATCACTGGATAATCCACTATCACTAAGGATGGCCAGAAGGCAAACAATAAACATGAAGTATTTAGTTTTAAAACACTTACAGTTCCACATTGCAAATCCTCAGCAGAATACAAGTAACAATTTTAAAAATGTACAAAAATCCAACGAAGTATTGTTTTAACTCTTAGAATAAAGCCAGCTTTATCACTTAGACAGCCTTACTAAAGTCACTCTGTTAAGAGCCATTGCTTCATCTAAAATGAAGGGTCGTGGGCCCATGGGCAGGGGCCCTTTGGGGGCCAAGAAGCAGGAAGCCATGGAGGGCTCCGGCGTATCTACCGTTATATGGCGTTTTAATGTCTTTTTTTACACATTCAAATTTTAAGTATATGTATGTTCATATAAAATACAATAAGATCTACGAAAAGGTAGTCTCATGTTTCCCAAGAGCCGGCTGGATTGCCAAAAAGTAAAATGGAATTACTA